GTGTATGTATGTACATGCCTATGTAGATAGATAGACAAATAGATAGATAGATAGATAGATAGATAGATAGATAGATAGACAGACAGACGACAGACAGACAGACAGACAGACAGATAGATAGATAGATAGATAGATAGATAGATAGATAGATAGATAGATAGACAGACAGACAGACAGACAGACAGACAGATAGATAGATAGATAGATAGATAGATAGATGGATGGATGGATGGATGGATGGATGGATGGATGGATGGATGGATGAATGTAAAGTTAGATATATTTGCCTTTGACAGGAGGAAGAGAATAGTCACAGTGCTTTCAGAAATTGTAGAGCTCTTAAACCGCCAAATTTCCTTTGAAAACAAAAGTTAACCTTTTCAATGCAAATATTATACTAATGTTGTTATGTGGTAGAAACCTGGAACACCATTGCCTCCAAGGAGCTAAAGATGGATATTATTGTTGTTGTTGTTGTTGTTGTTATTGTTGTTGTTTTTCTTCATTTTCAAAGAGGACCAAAATGACGTCAGTATGTTAGCCAATACAAGCTTGGAATGTTCTACCACAGGTGGAGCACAAATAGTCTATGTGAACCTTTGGGATATGTTCTCTAAGTTTGCATATCTTGCATTTCTCTTAAACTATTTCAATTCTGCTTTGCTCACAAAGCACATCATGTTTTCTAATGTGGGCATGCCATGCTAAATGGTCCTGTGCCAGTGTCTCCCATGTCACATAATCAATTCCAAAGTTCTTAAGAGAGACCTTGAGAGTGTCTTTGTATTGCTTCTCCTGACCACCATGTGAACACTTACCCTGTGTGAGCTCTCGATAACATAGTCCTTTTGGCAAGCGTACATTTTGCATTCGACCAACGTGGCCAGCCCATTGGAATTGCACTTTCTGAAGCAGAGTTTGAATGCTTGGCAGTTTGGTTTGAGAAAGGACCTCAGTATCTGGCATCTTATCCTGCCAGGTGAACTTCAGAATCTTCCTGAGACAATTCAAATGGAAGCGTTCCCGTTTCCTAGCATGGCACTGGTATACTGTCTAAGTTTCACAGGCATATAACAATGAGGTCAGCACAGCTCTGTAGAACCTCAGTCTGGTAGTCGGTCTAATACCTCTTCTCTGCCATACTTTCCTTCAGAGCTTCCCAAACACTGAGCTAGCTCTGGCCATTAGTGCATCAACCTCATTATCAATGTGTACATCCCTAGAAAGTACACTACCGATGTAAGTAAACTTATCCACAGCATTCAAAACTTCTCCATTTGCTGTAACCCGTGGTTCCATGTATGGATGAGGTGGTGGTACTTGGTGTTAATTGTTAGGCCAAAATTAGCACAAGCAGTAGAGAATTGATCCATACTTTGTTGCATCTCAGTTTCAGAGGCTGCATTGAGAGCACAATTATTTGCAAATAGAAAATCATACACAACACTCCCTCTATTTTTGGTCTTTTCAAGTTGAAGAATTTACCATCAGTAGCTGACCTTGATGCCATGTTCATCTTCATTGAAAGCATTTGACAACATGGCTGAAAACATCATGCCAAAAAGCATGGGAGTAAGCACACAGCCTTGTTTCTCTGCATTGGTGACTGGGAAAGCACGAGAGCATTGTCCATTATCCAGGACCTGGGCAAGCATTCTGTCATGAAATTGATGTATAATGCTAATGAACTTCTCCAGGCAACCAAATTTTGACATAATTTTCCATAACCCTTCATGACTGAAGAATCAAAGGCCTTGGTCATATCTACAAACGTTGTATACAGACCTCTGTTCTCCTCCTGGCATTTCTCCTGGAGTTGTCAGGCAGCAAACACCATATCAACCATTCCTTGGCCCTTTCTGAAGCCACACTGGTTCTCAGGTAGATGACCATCTTCCAGGTGAAGGATCAGCCTATTAGGGAGGACTCTGGCAAAAATCTTGCCAGCAATGACTAAAAGAGAGACATTTCCTGTGATTGTCACAGAACAATCCATTTCCTTTACCTTAATAAAGATGGACAGTGGAGGCACCCTTGAACTCCAGAGGGATAAACTCCTCTTGCCATATAACCTGAAAAATTTCAGTCAGTTTTTGTATGAGCAGTGGCCCCCTGCCTTGTAAATCTCAGCTGGAATAGAATCCGCACCAGGTGCTTTGCCACACAAAAGGAACTTGATGGCATTCAAAACCTCTTCTTTTTTTTTTTTTTTTTTTTTTTTTTTTTTTAGTGAGGCAATTGGGGTTGAGTGACTTGCCCAGAGTCACACAGCTAGGAAGTATTATGTGTCTGAGGCTGGATTTGAACTCAGGTCCTCCTGACTCCAGGGCCAGTGCTCTGTCCACTGCACCACCTAGCTGCCCCCAAAACCTCTTCTTCAGTTGGAACTTCAGCTAGGGAGGAATTGACTTCAACTTGATGTAAATGGTCAGTGCCTTCAGCATTGATTGATGGTGATCTGTTGAGAACATTATGGAAGTACTCATCCCATCTCTCTAGGATCATGTCCTTATCACTAATCAATGTGGCTCCATCAGCACTGAGTAGTTGAGATGCACCACAGATCTTTGGCCCATAAATAGCCTTCAGGACATCATAAAAGTGCTTTGGATTGTTACTATCAGTATAAAACTGAATTTCATCTGCCTTCTTACTGAGCCAAGAATCCTGCATCTCTCTATGCTTTGCTTGTACTTTACTTTTGATGGAATTAAATGCTGCCTTCTTAGAGATGGATGAACTATCCTGCTGGTAAACCCTGTGGAGTTCTTGTTTTTCACTTAGCAGCTTCTGAATTTCCCTATCATTTTCATCAAACCAGTCTTGATGTTTGCGAGTGTTCTGACCCAGATGAGCAAATGCAGTGCTATACAGCAAATCTCTGCAAGCTGCCCACTCCTTTGCTGCTCCACTGTTGCCAGCTGTGTGTTGGCTCAATTTTCCCTCCAAGTTAGCAACAAACCGCACACTCAGAAAAGAGCTCTCATCTGTTGACATTAATTCTTCTGGTAGTCATTTTGCTTTGGGGATGCTACTTTTGTTGAATGTAAATATTTAGCTTGGAAAGGATAAGTCTATGATCAGTCCATCACTCTGCATCACATATTCCCTTCATCACTCTCACATCTTGTCTGTCTCTTCTCCTGACAATCATGTAGTCTATTAAATGTCAATGTTTGCTGCGAGGGTACATCCATGAAGTTTTATTGCATTTAGATAAATGGAAGACAGTGTTGGTGATGAGAAGATCATGACATGCACAAGTCTTCAGTAGTAAGTGACCACTGCTGTTGCTGTTTCCAACTCCATTCCACCCCAGAACTCTCTGCCAAGTCTGGTAGTCTGAGCCTGCTCTAGCATTAAAGTCACTCAGAATTATAAGCTTGTCCTTTTTTGGCACATTGATGATAAGGGTCTCCAGGTCTTCATAAGTTTTTTCTTTAATCTCATCAGGGTTTTTCATGGTGGGAACATAGGCACTGATGATGGTGGCGTGACATTTTCCTGCAAGTGGCAATCGCATTGTCATGAGCCTATCATTCACTCCTTTTGGTAGGCATACAAGCTTGTTGACTAGATTAGATTTGATTGCTTCACAGTGCTTTGAGCATTTCATAGCTCTCTCCTTCACTGTGGCCACTCCAGAAGAACATGTATCCAGCTCCAACTTCAGTAAGCTGACTTCGTTTGCCAGCCTTATTTCACTCAGGGTTGTTATTTGGATGTGATACCTGCTGAGTTCTCTTGCGACAAGAGCTGCTCATCTTTCAGGTCTACTGGATTTTGTGTTGTCTATAAGTGTCCACACATTCCATGTGCCAACTGTCTTTGCAGATGGTTTTGTACAATTTTTTGTGTTTCGACGACAGAGTGGGATTCCTTGCTGCCGTGGTAATCAGGTCAGGGTTGGGTAAGCAGACAATTTTTAGGGCACCTTTTCTAGCCCCTTCCTCACACAAGGAGGTGAGCAATTCAATCCTTAAAAAACTGCTCAGACACCCAGGGAGGCTGCCAAATCCCACTGCTGCTTCCAGTGAGAATGACCCTATGGCATGGGCCGTCTGTGTGCAGGATTGTGACTACAGCTCCCAGTATATCTGTACCTGTTGCTTTGTCACTTGTCTTTCATCACTTGCCTGTTGCCACAGGACTTTGAGGAGGTAAAATGGTAAAATGATGATGTCCTTTGATTCGTGCGTAAATTGGATTTAAGCGAGGCAGAGTTACATGAAGTCATATGCCTCACTCTCTCCTCCAGAATCATCACAGTCCAGTAGCAGGACAGACTCAAGACAACTGGTGATGGCTCAAGATGCAGTGGATGACCTTGGCATCTTCAATGTCTAACCAAACTTTAAGCACTCCACAGTGCCTGCTCCAGCTGCTTTCATGGCCATTGGAACAACTTGTTCTCATCCTCCCATTCTACCAGGGGAAGTCTTCACATGCTTGAGGTAGATACCCCCTAACTCACCAAAGGGTTTGAGATCCCTTGGTTACCCTTGACCTGGTTTAACCTGTCTGCTGAAATGGTTTACCAGGACGTGGCCACTGTGCATGCTACAGCTTCTTAGAGCCACATGTGAGAGTTAGGTAGAACAAGTGGACACCAAGGGCTCAGCAGCCTTCACACCAGAGGTACTATTCTTCCCTGAACACACCCTAAAATTCTACAGAGATGAATATCACACAGAAGGCAACAGGAATAAAGAATGCTATGGAGGAACTGTAAGGTCTGCCTTGCCAGTGCAATTCCATCACACTCCAGGGGCCCCTTTCAGTCTTCAGTTCCACAGGCCTTGCCTTAACCCCACCTAAGCACCCTCCACATCTCTCTCCCTCCCACCCCATTTCTAGCCAGTCATGGGTGCAATGCCTGGGATGATTCCTGTTGAGGCAGAATCCCTGTGGACAATGATAACCTACCTGAACTCATTCCTCAGTGACCAACATATTTCTTTTTTTTTTTCTTAAATAAAAGGTTTATTCATCGAGGATCAGGGTGGGTGCTCAGTCAAAGAGACCAAAGCCCATGTCATCATCAGACTCCTCAGAATCCTCTTTCTTCTCTTCCTTCTTCTCCTCTGCAGCAGCAGGGGCAGCGCCACCAGCAGCTGGGGCAGCAGAGCCAGCACTGGTAGCAACAGCGACAGCACCACCGGCAGCCATGGAGGCCAGCTTACTGCTCCCCTGGCCAATCACATCTTCTATGTTCTTGCTACTCAGCTCACTGCCGACCTTCTTCAGCCACTCCTTGTCCATCTCAATGCCCATGCTGTCCAAGATCTTTAACAGGTCCTTGGAGTTAGGGGAATCATTGCCGCTGAAGACAGCCAGGAGGTAGGCTGCCACACAGTGCATCTCAGCCATCTAGGCTCTACTCAGGTCCGGTCCAGTGGTTGTGGCCTAGCACCGCAGAAACGGCGGGAGTGTCATTGGGCGCAGCAAGTCCAACCTCAGCAGAGTCGAGGCCAGGAAAAAAAAGCAATGATGAACATATTCGCACATCATCATACACACTCCATCCCTCCAGTTTCTTCTTCTGAACCTCCAATTACCATTGTTGGTACCAATTTAAACAGTTACCATTGTTCAAACTCTGTTCTCCATCCTTCATCGATTGTTCCCTTTTTTCCTTCTCCCTCAATCTAACCCTCCCCACCCCAACCTCCCACTCTGCAGTTACTCAACTTTATTTCCACTGTGCCCTCTGAAATATCTATTCCATAGGCAACCATCTAGATTTTACCTTAACTCTTTTCTTTTTGTGCCCCTTCTATCTTCTTGCACCCCATGTGTCTGCCTCCTGATGATACAACTTTCCTGGCTGCTCTTTCCGGCATTGGTTGCGCTTTCATTCACACGCCCCCACTCACTTGTCCTGGAATGGGGAGAGGCTTATGACTTGTTCCCCTTGCCACTTCCAGGCACTATCACTCAGCAACCTCTCTTCCTTTGAGGTTCATTCAATCTATATTTATCATCCAGTCAAAATTCTGGTAGCTAATGTCTACTATCCCTCCTTCCTTAGTGAGTTCATTCCTCTAGTAAGCTTGGCTCACATTCCTTCTGTCTGCCCTCATATTAGGGGACTTCGACATACACATTGATACTCCCTCAAACACCATAACCTCCGATTTCCCTAACTTGGTCATTTCCCATGACCTACTTGATCTTGTCATCACCTACAAATGTTCCACATCCATTTCATGAACTTTGAAATTCCTTTATTTGATCAAAATCTGTTCTCACTCCACCTCTCCTTCTGCCTTGCAATTTCAAACCCTGTTCTTCCATACTGTGACCTCCAGTTCCTCTAGCCCCTCAATTCTTTCCTAGGCCATCATCTCTGCACTGGCTACACTCTCTTCCTTTTCCTATCCTGACCCAGTGGTAAACCAATTGAACCCTATACTGTCCTCCTCTTGAGTCCTTCGCTCCTTTATCTTATCAAAGCTCTTTTGCCCTGCCAAACCTCAGCTTACTCCTACTATCTGCTGCCTTTATTCCCACATGTGTGCTGCTGAATGAAGCTGGAGAAAATCATGAAACTGTGCTAAATCTACTACATGTTTATGTTATATAATCCCAACTGGACCCTCACTGTGCTGAGGCAAGCTTCAGTGGGATTAGGGTTGTGTAATTTCTAACGAATTTACTATCTCATTCACCACAGGACCTTTTGCAAACCTTTTCATCACTCCTCAAAACTTCTATAGCTTTCCATCCCCCCACCCCCACCCCATCATCTCAGCTGAGAACCTTGTCATATATTTCACTGGAAAACTTGAATTCATTCTCAAAGAGCATCCTCTTTTCCTCTGTTTGTCATCTCATAGCACTTAGCTGTTTAACTCTTTATTTACCTGTTTCACATGAAGAGGTGGTCGGTCCTTCCCTTTGCCAAGACAAATGCTTCTCCATGCACAAATGTTCCATTATATTCCCTTCTCCAGCAGATTTCCCCCTCTATCATCCTTAATCTCTTATTAATCTTCTATTGTGCCATCTCTACTGGCTGTCTCCCCTACTGTCTACAAATTTGCCTAGTTCTCCCCCATCCTCAAAAAAAAAGAAAGTAACTTGATTGGTTTAGCTTCCAATCCTATATCTCTTCTCTTATTTGTAGCTAAATTCCTCGAGAAGGCCATCTACGATAGATGCCTCCATTTCCTCTTCTCTCATTCTCTTCTTAACTCTGCAGTCTGGCTTCCAATCTCTTCATTCAACTGAAACCGCTCTCTCCAAAGGTACTAATGATGTCTTAATTGCTCAACCTAATGGCCTTTTCTCAGTCCTCATCCTTCTTGACCTCTCTTCTACCTTTGACACTACCAATCTTCATGACATTGTTTTCTCCTGGTTCTCCCACCCATCTGACCTCCCCTTCTTTGTCTCTTTTGTTGGATCTTGATCCATCCGTCATGCCTACTAACTATGGTGGTTCTGTAAGGCTTTGTCCTAGGCCTTCTTCTCTTGTCTTTCTATGCCATTTTGCTAGGTGGTCTCATCAGCTCTCATGGTTTCAATGGTAATTTCTATGAAATTGACTCATATCTTCTCATCCAGCCTCAACTTTCTGCTAGCCACTTCTCACACCTCCAACTGCTTATCAGAAATCTTGAACTAGATATAGATATCTTCCACTCAACATGTCTAAAACTGAACTCATTATCTTTCTCCCAAAACCCTGCCCCCTTCCTAATTTCCCTACCTAGCTATTCCTTACTCATGACCCACCATCTCCAGTCTCCAAACCATTCCACTGGCTTTTCCCAATACCTGAAGTACTTTCTTTGCCAATCTCTGATTCTTCCTTTAAGATTCAGTTCAAATACCACCTCTTCCAGGAGTGCTATCCTCATTCCCCCAATGGCTGGTGCTACCTCATCTAACACTACCCTCCCTCTACTATATATCTTCTGATTTATAAATGTTATCTCGGGTGCAGGTAGGTGGTGCAGTGGATAGAGCACCAGCCCTGAAGTTAGGAGGACCTGAGTTCAAATCCAGGCTCAGACCAAACACTTGACACTTACTAGCTGTGTGCCCTGGGCAAGTCACTTAACCCCACTGCCTAAACAAACAAACAAACAAGAAAATGTTACCTCCCTTATTAGAATATAAGTTTTTTGAGGGCAGAGTCTGTTTTTGTTTTTTATTTGTATCCCTTCCTCTCCCTACCCCCTTAAGCCATTGCCTGTCACAAAGCAGGCACTTAATAAATGTTTGTTGATTGGGTGGGAAAGAATCCCCAAAAAGAGATCACAAATTGAGTGTTTGAGAATATGGTTGCAATATATACAACCATATGTAATACGCACTGTGTTCTTCTGGTTCTGCTCCCCACTCCCACATTGCATATTTTATAAAGAGTTTTCTACATTTCTTTATTTGCCTCTTCTTTTTTTTGAGGATCAGACCTCTGATTTTACTGGTATAGGGAATCCCCAGATAAGGAAATTTCTTCCACTGACAAAGATCTGTGCCTGCTTTATAATTTATAGTCTTAGGGAGTTTTCTGGGGCATTCAGAGATCAAGTGACTTACCCAGGATCACACAGCTGATGTGTGCCAAAAGTAGAACTTCAGTGTAACTCTTACTGACTCAGACCTGCTTTCTGTCCACTATACCCCACTGTCTCTCTTCCTCATATAACTTCTAAGAATCACACTTTGAGAACAGCTAAGCTAGATGTTCTTTGGGGTCCTTCTAGCTCTGGCATTCTAGGATTCTGCCAGAGATGAGGGGCCAAAGTCCTGACCAGACCCTAGTTTGTATGCTCCAAGGCAGTAGGATGTGGTACAACAAGTCTTGCATTTAGCTGTGCCTAGCTTTCCCTCTGCTCTTCCCCTAAGCATACTTGGAACTGTTTGCTCACTTTCAACCTGCTTCTGCCTTTCTCCATTTCCCAGAGTTCTGGTAGTGGCTAAGCCAAAGGCCTGTGGTTGTTTGTGCCAGTGATGTGGCTGGGGAGGTTGCACCTCCCCCAGCAGGCTTGCCAACTACACTTACCTCCTCCTCCATTTCCAGAGGACCTTGCCAGGGAGTGAAAGGTGGGTTTAAACTGTTTTTATAATTCTTCTTCTGGTATTTTCTCACCACCTTCCTGGCTGCCCATCTTTCTAAGAAAACTGTTTATTTCCAGGGAGTCAGGAGCAGATTCCAGGGCCCTAAATCTTCTACCTACCACGGTGGCTGTGCTGGTGCCCTCTGGAAAAGAAGTCCTGGGCCAAAATTGATTACTAAATCACACCATTTTAAAGTTTTAAAGGATTTTAGTAAGCATCTACCTTAAATATTTTGCTGGGCACCTGAGGAAACTGAAGCCTGGAGAGGTTAGGGACTTGGCTCAAATTTACACAACTATTACACTACTAGTTATTAGTGTAAGGGTCTATAGCAGACCCTCTTTCACGTTTTAATTTGATACTTCTAATATATGCTATGCTGCTGGCAACAAGATGGCACAGAGGATAGACTGCTAGACTTGAAGTCAGGAAAACCTAAATGGAAATCTTGCCTCAAATGCTTCCTAGCTCTGCGACCCTGGGCAAATCATTTAACCTCTCTCACCCTCAGATTCCTCATCTGTAAAATGGGGATGATAATAATAAAAGTACCTACCTCCCAAGGTTATTGTGAGAAACAAAAGAGATAATGTATATAGAGAGAGCACTTTGCAAACCTTAAAGCCTATATAAATATTAGCTATCATATAGCAGACTGGGAAGCCAGTCTCGGCTTAAATTTGTATGTCAAAAAAGAGTCAAAAGGCTCTGAATAAGTGCTGATAGACTTCCATGGTAGGGGTTTTTACCCAATTTGGTGAAACCTATGGACCCCTTCTCAAAATAATGTTTTATTTATAATCTATCCATCTATTTATTTATTCATTCATCTCTACATTTGTTTACTTTTTGTTTGTGTTTGCTTATGTAACCTGAGCCCCAAAGCCCGTTGGTATGGGACTCTCTCCTCATTGGTAGAGATCAATGCCCTGTGTCTGAAAGAGGTGGGGTGGAATTGGCAAAAGGAGGAGAGAGGAGAGTGCCAGGCTCTCCGGTCTTTTGAGGCTCTTCAGTCTCTGACGTTGCTTTAGGGGTTTCTGGTTTTTGGCTTCAAGAGAGAAGATAGACGAGACCAGCCCCATTAAAGGTTGCTGAAGGGAAAATAAGACTGTGGGAAGAAGCTAACAGGAGGTAAGCTGGCAGGTTGCATCATGTCCCTATCCCCAGCTTGCTATACTAGAGACTTTATGGAGTTTCCCTTGGGTGAGATCTGGGGCTCTCTCTTGGTTGAGTTGAGTTATCTCACTCCCAATGGGAGAGCTCCTTCACTCTGTATTGTCCAGTTTCTG